TCTCTGAGGTTATCTTTGACTAGTAGCAAGCCCAGAAGAGTCCTAAGATACAACAGAAGAATTTTAATTGAAAATGGAACTTAAAGAAGGCGGACTTTTAATGCACATGGTATTTTATAAAAGCACTTTTTTTTTCTGAACATAATATGATAAAATGTATTAGGTATCCGGTGCTATGTAACAGCTTCTTTCCCTGTCCCATTCCCTTTTCACTGCTGATTACACTGAGAGCTCACACAAATATAATCCCTTATAGAACCATAGAATATCTCAAGTTGGAAGGGACCCATAAGGATCATCGAGTCCAACTCCCTGGTCCTTGCAGGAGCATAACTGTACATACCTTTACATAACTCTAAAAGATTATGGAGGGGGCCATCCTCAGCTGCGGTCATAGGTGAGGTTAATGTTTGTCACTTGTAGTCTCCCACTCCTACTAGATTAGCTGCTAATAAAATATAAATGTGGGGGTTCATTAAAAACAATAATGGCAACAACAACAAAAAACCAGAAAAATCTCACCATCTACCTGAAATGTTTGCCATTTTCAAAAAGATGAGATGCTAAAAATGAGGGATCTGGTAAAAATCCCCTCCATGTACTGTCCTTAAATTCAGTCATGTCTTGAAATGAGTCATGAAAAATCCAGCTAATTTCCTCTGCCGTCCTACTTCCCAGCCAAATCCATTTTTACCTACCTCTCCGATTCATTCATCCTCACCCATTTTGTTCACTTAAACTGGTAGTAATGTGTGTGGACTAAATTAATATGCTGCTTCTCAAAGCGATTTCAGAGGTTCATATTCATCATGCTGTAACACTACTGTCCAACTCCTTGCAGCATAAACTTGCACAGCTGCACTCATTTCATTTGAAGAGAAGTTGGTAAAATATCAGCTGTTGAATCAAGTAAATTCACTATAAATTCATATGGTTCTGCATTCATCTGCATATAAACCACATTAATTTTCACCATATCAAACAGTTATATTGGTACGATGCCTTTCACAACAATTACTGTTCTATTTAACTATGTAAACAGTTGGAATTATGGCATAAGATATATGCTGGAACTATATTCCTTTCAAAATCTTACCTTAACCTGCTTATGCATTTAATAGACATTAATACAAAAAGAGTACATTTCCCTGAGGAAAGACAGGAATGGTAATAAGTGATTTATGACAGCTTATGTTGCATCAGGAGATTTTTCACAGTTCATTAGCCAATTCTTTGCTACTTAGATTTATTTATTTTCCTTTATGAAAGGGTTCTGGGTTCCACAGGAATGTGCTTCTTAATTTCATCTCATCTTAAACACATTTCTTGTAAATGCTAAAATTTAAAGTTAATTGTAACTTATACTTCTAAGTTAGTACAACTGAAATACCGTGTGTGCTTTCTAGAGAAAACTAATATAATTCTAAAGATTTCAGTTTACCTGTTGGGGTTTTTTTAAATTGAACTTGTCTTTTACCTCAGCTTTGAAAAAATCCACAAGAATTAATCTTTACAGGACACAGATCATGTGAAGTGTGTATAAGATACCACTAATTCTTTTCTCTAAGCAATTATTTACAGAACATTTCCAGAAGTGACAATGTTGGAGTTCTTTCAGTTGAAAAAAAACCCCCAAACCAAAACACTCAGGACATCAGGACACAAAGCCATTATTTTACAATAAGTAGAAATCTTCCTTGTGCAATCCTTTTGGAGAGTTAGGAAATATCAGCTGTTGCGTGATATGATATCTTTATTGCAAACATAGTACTCAAGCTAATGTTTTTTTGTTACTGATACAGAATGAGGTCATAGGAAACTACATGAGGGCTTCCATAAAGAACCTTCAAGAAAATTGAATCTATTGATAAATGCATAAATGCAAATGTATTCTTGTACAACTATATATTCTGTACATGAGTTGATGTATACCCAGTGGACTGTTGGTTTAGCATGTATTCATGTACCTATGGGAGATTCAAGATTGCCTGTTCCTTCCTCTGTGTCATTCTAACATATTAATGAGTTGCACAAGAATTCCCTGATATGTACAGTCATTTGATATCCAGCCTACTTAAAATTCCATAAGCAGTTGGATGGTAAGACAAATGTCACAGATACACCTTGAATCATTAACTTGTTGTTGTTAAACAAAAGCACAGTGTTGGCATTTTAACAGTGTTGTAAACCTTGTTTTGAGATGATTTTGTGATAAGCAAAATTATGTACTTTTGTAGCAGTTTGGACCAAGGCCTTAAGAAACCTTTACAAAATCTAATGTTCTTACAACATCCCTTTAAGGTAAGTTAGGTTGTTGGGCATTATACTTTCAACTGAGGAGCATATGCATATTAACATCAAGCTTTTCTGTGCTAAGATGGTACTTCCAGCATTTTTGTTTGCTAATACTGGTTTACCTCCACCAGCAAACTCAGAATCATCATGTAACTTGGTTGCTCCTCCAAATGAAGTGTAAGCCTTTGCTCATCCATAGAAATGATCCACTGGAGAAGGCTTTCTGATTATTCCAGCACAGCTGCAGGTATTCTTGATCTATGACACATTTGTCCTAACAACTTGGTTAGTTTCAACACTTTCAGTGTTGTAAGTTTTATTTCTAACCCAGTTGTCATTTTGTGGAACGAGATTTGGGAAGAATCACATATACAAGGTGGGACACTGTGGTAGTTGTGGTGCCCTTTTATTAGCTGCAGCTGAAATGTTTAATTGTGTTGTAACGGTATGTGATAATAAAAACAGTGCTGACGGCTATTCTCTACTAAAGTTTAATGTTCTCCTAATATCAGCAAATGGAACTGATATTAACAACTAGGAACTACTTCTATCCACAGGTTACACAGATCACCGGCAGCTACTTACTTCTAACTGTAGTTGTCTCTCTAATGGCAATGCACAAAAATGTTACTCTCGCATTGGCCAGAGAAATTTGTAGAACCTTTAAAAAACTTGGGAGCAAATTCTAAAGGACATTTGGGTGCCTGAGTCATACTCCTAAAAAGATAAAAATAATATAGGTAGGATTTCAGTTGGCAGACACTGAAATATTCTTCAGGCCTTTATCTACACATTTCCTAAATGTAAAGAAAATATTTTGCTGTCTGTCATTCTTCCTAAAAAGAGTTGCCAGTTCCATCTTCAGATTGGCTCCTAGTTTAAAAAAAATCCCTTCATAATTTCCTTTCCCTTAAGTAATGAAGAAACAGGGGAAATAAAAAACCCAAAATGCTTCGTTGTTTGAAAAGAGGATCCAACTCAAGGCCTGCACTTGAGGTAATAATTGAATCTTCAGTGCGTTAACTCAAGAGAACTTTGCTTCTTGAGTTCCTTAGCTAAATAAGATTATTATGTGATAATGATAGACACCCTTTATAGCAATGACATTCCATGCAAATTTATTGTTTTAATTAACCAGTTAATTGATTTATAGAGTATCTGTGCAGGTCACTTAGACTTCAAAAAAGTACTTAGCTGTTCTTCCAAGTGATTGAAATAACCAAAATAATTTCTTAATCTTCCAAACATTTCAAAGGAGAGCTTTATCGTGTTCATTTTTGAACTTTTGGTAAAACCAACTGTTGTCTAAGTGAAACAAAAAGTTAGCTTTTTTTTCCCACAGAAAGTTACAGAAGCAGTGGACTGCACATGTGGTCAGCTGGATTGCTGCTTCAGAGCACAAACAGGGCAGGACCTGCTGCTACTGTGGTGTGTGGAAAGGTGCACTCAGCTCTGTTTGCTGGGAATAGGCTGCTTTGCTGCCTTTTTGCTGCAGGGTGGTGATTATCATGGGTCCACCTACCTACAAGACAAAACGTGGACTGACCAGGGTATCAGGCAAATGTTATCAGCAAGAAAGAAGGCTTTAGGGGGAAAGTAAGAACCTTCTAAAAGGTTTCACACTGTAACCATAAAAATATTTTTTTTAAAAAAAAGAAGAAAAAAAAAACAGGTAGCAATTTTATTATATCACATCTTAACTAACAGCTGCAAGCAGATCTAAGTGGAAAGCCAAACCTTGCCTGCTGGTGTCATTTCCTCGAGCACCGCGGGATGGGAAGAGGTGCTCCCTGGTGGACAGAAGAAAAAGTTGGATTGAGAAATCTGCTGTATCTTCGGCGAGCTAGATCCTAACGCGATTTGAAGCTGAAAATGAGAAAAGAGTGCATTTTGCTCTGTGGCAGCCGGTCGGAGGGAGGGAGGCTCACCTCCTGCTGCTGCGCATCCAAAGCACCCAAACGGAGCCTTGAGGATCTCCTGCCTATCCGGCTCCCATGTGAGCTCGGACCCCGGGTTCCACCTTGGACATGCCCGCGGGAGCGCTCCAGCCTTGGCCCGCAGTGCCAGAAGCTCAAGGCTTTTTCTTTCCAACCTCCGTGTGCCCAGAGCCCAGCCGGGGCGGTGGACCCAGCCCACAGCCTGCCGTCATCCCCTCTGTGGAGGGGACGCAGCTCCCCTGCCGATCCCGAAAGGTGCTCAGTCAGGGCATCGCTGTCACCGCGCCGCAGCCTCCGCGGGAGCGGGAGGAAAGCTCCGCCTCCGCCCGTCTGGGAGCAGCCTGATAAAGGCAGGTGCGGGCAAGCGGCAAAGGACCCCAGCTCGAAGCATCTGCCTGTGCGCCGAGCCCTTGACCTCTCCGGTCTCCCCT